TTTGGTAAGGTTGCAGGATACAAAATTAATGCACAGAAATCGCTGGCCTTCCTATACACCAACAATGAAGAAACAGAAAGAGAAATTAAGGAAACACTCCCATTTACCACTGCAACAAAAAGAATAAAATACCTAAGAATAAACCTGCTTAAGGAGGCAAAAGACTTGTACTCAGAAAACTATAAAACACTGATGAAAGAAATCAAAGATGACATAAACAGATGGAGAAATATACCATGTTCTTGGATTGGAAGAATCAATACTGTGAAAATGACTATACTACCCAAAGCAATCTACAGATTCAATGCAATACTTATGAAACTACCAATGGCATCTTCACAGAAATAGAACAAAAAACCTTACAATTCGTATGGAAACACAAAAGACTCCGAATAGCCAAAGCAATCTTGAGAAAGAAAAACAGAGCTGGAGGAATCAGGCTCCCCGACTTCAAACTATACCACAGAGGTACAGTAATCAAGACAGTATGGTACTGGCACAAAAACAGAAATATAGATCAGTGGTACAGGATAGAATGCCCAGAGATAAACCCATGCACATATGGTCACTTAATTTACATCAAAGGAGGCAAGAACATACAATGGAGAAAAGACAGCCTTTTCAATAAGTGGTGCTGGGAAAACTGGACAGCTACATGTAAAAGAATGAAATTAGAACACTACCTAACACCATACACAAAAATAAACTCCAAATGGATTAGAGACTTAGATATAAGACCAACCACTATAAATCTTTTAGAGGAAAACCTAGGAAAACCACTCTTTGACATAAACCATAGCAAGAGCTTTTTTGACCCACCTCCTGGAGTAACAGAAATAAAAAGAAAAATAAACAAATGGGACTTAATTAAACTTAAAAGCTTTTGCACAGCAAAGGGAACCATAAACAAGACAAAAAGACAACCCTCAGAATGGGAGAAAATATTTGCAAATGAAACAAATTAATTAATCTCCAAAATGTACAAACAGCTCATGGAGCTCAATATCAAAAAAACAAACAATCCAGTTAAAAAATGGGGTGAAGACCTCAATAGACATTTCACCAAGGAAGACATACAGATGGCCAAGAGGCACATGAAAAGATGCTCAGCACCACTAATTATTAGAGAAATGCAAATCAAAACTACAATGAGGTATCACCTCATGCCGGTCAGAATGGCCATTATCAAAAAAGTTAGAAAAACAATAAATGCTGGAAAGGCTGTGGAGAAAAGGGAACCCTCCTACACTGTTGGTGGGAGTGTAAATTGATACAACCACTATGGAAAACAGTATGGAGGTTCCTTAAAAAACTAAAAATAGAACTGCCATATGACCCAGCAATCCCACTACTGGGCATATACCCTGAGAAAACCATAATTCAGAAAGAGACATGCACCACAATGTTCACTGCAGCTCTATTTACAATAGCCAGGACATGGAAGCAACCTAAATGTCCATCGACAGAGGAATGGATAAAGATGTGGCACATATATACAATGGAATATTGCTCAGCCATGAAAAGAAATGAAATTGAGTTATTTGTAGTGAGGTGGATGGACCTAGAGTCTGTCATACAGAGTGAAGTAAGTCAGAAAGAGAAAAACAAATACTGTATGCTAACACATACATATGGAATCTAAAAAAAAAATGGTACTGAAGAACCTAGTTGCAAGGCAGGAATAAAGATTTAGACATAGAGAATGGACTTGAGGACACAGGTAGGAGGGGGAAGCTGGGGCGAAGTGAGAGTAGCATCAACATATATACACTACCGAATGTAAAATGGTTGGTGGGAAGCAGCCGCACAGCACAGGGAGATCGGCTCAGTGCTTTGTGATGACCTAGAGGGGTGGGACAGGGAGGGTGGGAGGGAGACGCAAGAGGGAGGGGATATGGGGACATGTGTATGCATATGACTGATTCGCTTTGTTGTGCAACAGAAACTAATACGGTATTGTGAAGCAATTATACTCCAATAAAGTTCTATTAAAAATAATAAATAAATAAAATAAAAATAATCAGTGTTCTTTAAATTTATGATCAGCCAGGGTTTTTTTTTTTTCCGAAATCACTGTGCATACCTGTAGGCAAGGCAAGGTAGTGTAATGGGATTTTAATGCATGTTAAATTTAATAATCAGATAAGCGGACATACACTATGTTTTGTAGCATTTATCTAAGTAATAGGTTGGGTTCTGGATGCTTTTAGACGTTCTTCATTCAATCAAACAACAGTATTTTGAGAAAGTCAAGACAAAGAATTGAAGTGACTATTATGAGTCCTTATTCCAGGATTTTCTGCCTCCAAGTACAGTTATCTCTATTTGTTTTGTTTTTATTGACATATAGTTGATTTACAATGTGGTGTTAATTTCTGCTGTACCGCAAAGTGATTCAGTTATACATATGTATACACATACACCCATGTATATTCTTTTCCATTACGGCCTATTATAGAATATTGAATATAGTTCACTGTGCTATACAGTAAGACCTTTTTGTTTACCTGTTTTACATCTTCGGGTTTTTTTCTTTTATTTTTTTTGGCTGTGCCATGCAGCTTCCGGGATCTTAGTTCCCCGACCAGGGATTGAACTCGGGGCCACGACAGTGAAAGCACCGAGTCCTAACCACTGGACCACCAGGGAAGTCCCTCTATTTGTTTTTTAAAATAAACTAAGAGTGACTCAAATATTTTAGAAACTTCCAAAGAAATATTCCTAAGAGGTCGCCATTTTTCACTAAAAATACAATAGACTACAAGGACAGTACTGAAATCACTGTTATTTATGGGAATTCCCTGGCAGTCCAGTGGTTGGGACTCGGTGCTTTCACTGCCATGGGCCTGGGTTCAATCTCTGGCAACTAAGATCCTGCAAGTAGTACAGCGCGGCCAAAAAAAAAAAAAAAAAGAAAGAAAGAAAGAAAGAAATCACTGTTATTTTTGGTAAAGATAAAAACGATATTCAAGTCCCCAGTGGACCACAAAATCTTTTTTTAAGTTGAAATTCCCTATGACACTATGTAAAAAACACTATTTTTGTTTTCCCCACAGTTCAAACCCCAATATCCTACATGTGGTAGATACTCAAGAAATGTTTCCTTAAAGGAAAGAGAATGAATGTAGAAGCGAAAACCATGTATATATTTTCCTTTCACAATGGAGAAATGAAACAAAATCCTCAACTTTGTAGATGGAGAGAGGACAAAAATCCAGCTTTCTTCCCGGTGACCCTATATATGGACACTACTTTCAAAGAAAAGGTAAACCAACCAAAGAAATCGCCATCATGTGGGGCTTACCATGTTGAACAACTGGTTCTCTTAATGGCTCCCCAGCAATCAGGACGAAGTGGTTTCTCTCAGGATCCTAAAGTCAAGAAAGAGACCATCAAACAATAAACAGCCTTATTTTTGAATGTCTGATTAGGAATGATTTGAAGTTGACATTCGGGCCAAAGGGATGATGTCCCTAATTCTAAAGATAAATTCCAGAAATATTTTCTGTGCAACGCATGATATGGAAATGCTTATTCTTTAAGACGTTTGGTAGCAATCAGAACTCAAGAATATGCCCTGAACACCAAAATAATAACCTTCTCTAATAAAGAAGGAGAATTTAAATTAAGGTTTTTCTTTAACTAGAAACATCTTTATGACAAACTATGTGATTGACTTGGCCTATTACAGAGTTTATAATTTCCTGCTAAAAATTTAATTTTTAAAAGTGAAGATTATTTATGCAAATCCAAAAGTAACATTTTATTACTTTTGACATTTATTACTATTAATGTAAAATATGCCCCAGAAATGTTGCACTAAATGGAACCTTACAAAAACATCCCAGGAGGCTTCCGTGGTGGCGCAGTGGTTAAAAATCTGCCTGCCAATGCAGGGGACACGAGTTCGAGCCCTGGTCCGGGAAGATCCCACATGCCGCGGAGCAACTAAGCCCGTGCACCACAACTACTGAGCCTGCGCTCTAGAGCCCCCGAGCCACAACTACTGAGCCCACGTGCCACAACTACTGAAGCCCGCGTGCCTAGAGTCCGTGCTCTGAGAAGCCACCACAATGAGAAGCCTGCGGACTGCAACAAAGAGTAGCCCCCGCTCGCTGCAACTAGAGAAACCCTGCGCACAGCAATGAAGACCCAATGCAGCCAAAAATGAACAAAAAAATAAATAAATTTATTTTTTTTTAAATCCCCGAGATACCTGCTCAGGCAAATTTCTCTCCAAAAGGGTCCTATTGTGTTAAAGTCTCTAAAAGTTTTTGTTTAGAATTAAGATTAGGTTTTTTTCCCTGAAACTGAAAAGAAATATTAATTATTAAATCCAGTGCTAGTGTGGATGCAGGGAAATATAAACTTTTCTATACCTCATTTGGGAGATTTTAAGTGGGTGCTGTAATCTTTCTAGAGAGCACTTTGACAATATGACTTCAAGCCCTCCTATCGCTGATGTCCTCTGACCCAGTAATGCCAGAGAAACCAGCAGAAGAACCTCCCACCACACTTGTGATAATATAAATATGTGATAATATATTATATGCTCCTACTCATATAAAGCTCTTTAATTAGAAATAATTCTAATGTTACTAGTACCAGAAGATTTATCACTGGATTCAATTAACATGAAGCATATGAAGAACGAAGTCTTTAATCTTCCATGTAGTTAGAAATATTTGTATCTTACAGAATCGACATTTATTTCCCCTTCTGCCTCTAACTTTAAAAAATTAAAAGGGAATTTAATGGTTTCTGCAAAAGTCTTAATTTACTCCCTACAGTCCCAGGGCTGTGCATTTAGTACATCCACCCAGTGGACGCTTTAATCATTTCTTCATGTTTAAAAAACATCTGTTTAACCATTCCCAGGCCTGTATTTATTTACACATCACCTTATGTATCCATAACCCAATTTGCTGTCAAAATATGCCAATGTGAACTCAGCTGAAAATCAGAGTAAGCTAAAAAGGCGTCTGCTAATTCAAATTTTAAAAACAGATGTCATAAACCCCATGTACTAAAGTTTAGTCTTTTAACCTTAGTACAGACCCTCACTCAATCTCCACTTATTCTCACATTATACACAACGTTAATAATTAAGCTTTGCGGTTATCAGATCCATGAGATTCAAAGCTAGAAGACAGGAAAGCACTACTATACAGCAATACAAGGAAATGGACAGCTTAACATCAATTATGGAAATTAAACACACACCAAAACAACTATGAAAAACAGGCACAGAGGCTTAAAAATTAGTCTAGGACCACTTACTGTGGTAGCCAGTAGGCCCTAAAAACATCGTCACACTTTATAGCTCAGCACAGTAATTAATATACATGCTGATGACCCAGTGTTATGAATAAGTTAAACTGTGCATATACTACTATGCAATAGCCCAACAGTCCCCAAGAAAGGGGACGGTTTCTACCTAAGGGCTTTGAAGGGGTGGAATTTCAGTGCGAATCAAATGACATATTCAAGAAAAGTATCTTAGAAAAATAGTTCTGATCGCTGGTGCTACATCATTTATAATTTAATCTGAGGGAAGACATCACTAAAAAGTGTTTCGAGGTGTTTGGTTTTGGAGGGGATACACACTTGAGTTCTAGGGTCAGGAGGCAGAGGAGAAAGGGTCGGGGGTCACGAGAGAAGGGGAAAGGAAAAGCCTACCTCCTTGTGCCATGGGTGTGCGACTCCTCAGAATGTAAGTTTCTTAATTCAGAAGATGCGTCTTTTGTGAGTGACAAACGTGTCCTACAGTTTACACAGTTTGGAATAATAATAAAGTGTTCAAAATACAAGTTTTGCTCCTTTTGATATTACTCAAATCAAATGATGACTTTCATTTATAAGTCAGACCGTAGGATAAAAGGACACTTGCATTTGGTCTGAAATGAAAAATGATTCAACTGCTGGGTGCTGAGTTGTCTGGGAGTTCGGCTTTCCGTTTCAGAAAGCTGAAGGTTGGAAGTGAGCCAGAAACAGAAAAACAAATATCGCTTGCATGTGGAATCTCGAAAAATGATACAGACGAACTTATTTGCAAAGCAGAAACAGAGACACAGACACAGAGAACAAACATATGGATGCCAAGGGGGAAAGGGGAGGTGGGATGAATTGGGAGATTGGGATTGACATATATACACTACTATATATAAAACTGATAAATAAGAACCTACTGTATAGCACAGGGAACTCTACTCAGTGCTCTGTAGTAACCTAAATGGGAAAAGAATTTTAAAAAGAGTTGGATATAAGTATATGTATAACTGATTCACTTTGCTGTACACCTGAAACTAACTCAACATTGTAAAGCAACTATACTCCAATAAAAATTAAAAAAAAAAAAAAAGCAAGCTGAAGCCTGGTCCAAGTTTCTCTGAATGATTTTTTTACAAAATTAACCTCTCCCTGGCCCCTTCTCCTCTAACCTAAGCCAGGTGTTTTGGGCCTTTTTCTTTTTTCTTAGGTGCATCCTTCTTCCTCCCTTAACTGGCCTTCTTTGGTGAAAGCTGGTCATCTTTCTGGATATTCAGTGGAGTGCTTTTGTGGCTCCAAGTCCCGAATGCTGCTATCTTGAAAAGCCCTCCTCTATGGTGACCTTGGGTACAGTGTCAAATGATGAAAATCAGGCCAAAGCAAAGAGAAAGAAAGACTTGTTTAAGATCATGAGTCCCTGTGTGGATCTAAGTCAGTGCCCTGTTCGGTTCTGATGAAGAGACCCTCACACAAAGGCAACAGAAGTTCACTTACTGCTTCATGGACAGGTGCCCCAACTGAAACTCACGATCTCTTGGGGCCCAGACCATGTCTTTCACTTTGGCACACCTTCTCAGAGTTCCTAGTTTTGAGTCAGGCCCTTCTGGGTTTACATAATAATTTACTTTTACAAATTGCTCTGTTATTCCATAAATACTGGCAAGACATGTCTTGAGTTCCACTGACACCAACAATAAATGATCGAAGCCCAGATGAAGGCGCTAGGATTTATTTAAGGTGTTGATAACTTCTACACTGTATGTACTCAGAGTTTGTTTGATTAATCAGAAATACAAAGCTTGAGATGGCAGTGGGACTCCGAGAAGGAAACTAAGGGCATGCTTTTGCATCAGGAACATTTATTAGGGTGAAATATTACCTGAAAACATTATCAGAAAGAAACTGAGCTTTAACAGGACTTCACTGCGTGTAATTGTTCTTACTAGACTTCACTGTTTATACTTCTTAGGCCAATTGAAAGAGAAAACAGTGAACTGTTACCAGTTTTTGAAGATTAAGGGTTTATTTTATTATGAATCAGCACATCCGCAAAAAGTTGTCTCTAGCTTTAAAAGGGTGTTTTAGTTGTCTTTCGATCTTTTTTTTTTTTTTTTGGTGGTACGCGGGCCTCCCACCGTCGCGGCCTCTCCCGTCGCGGAGCACAGGCTCCGGACGTGCAGGCTCAGCGGCCACGGCTCACGGGCCCAGCCGCTCCGCGGCACGTGGGATCCTCCCGGACCGGGGCCCGAACCGCATCCCCTGCATCGGCAGGTGGACCCCCAACCACTGCGCCACCAGGGAAGCCCTCGATCTTTATTTTAATCAAATATTAATCTGTATTAGTTTAATGAATTCCCCATGAATGGTGCCAGTTAAAGAGTATCCTTATTCTCAAGGATGGTTTTGATGGCAGTCATTGAGGAACTGACTGCCTACCTTGACAAACTACACGTAAGTTTGCTAATCCACGAGGCTTAAGACTTTCTCAATAGGACACTAGTATAGACATGAGTTTTAAGCTGAGATCAAGTCTTCATATCAAATCCATGTGCTCCTGATCATGGAGCCATCTTGGCAACCAGGGTACCAACTGTGGGCCAAAGCAGCACAGGGAGCTTTAACGCTTGAAACAGAGTTTGTCCCAGGGTGACCATTACAGTCCAGGCTTAAATGGCCAGAGGAGCCCAGGGTTGATCCCCATCTCTAAGAACAATGAAAAAGTTAAGGCCATTCTGAAGGCACTGCTGGGGTTTAGGCTTCCTCTAAGAAGTCAGAGAGTCTGGCTTAAGGACTCTTCAATCTAGCATAAACCAAGCCCCCTGCAGTTGCTACCCACCATGGAAGACTTCAGAATACAGTCACAAAAGACAATCCACACTCTGAGTGAAAAAGGTAGGGGTCCCTGCAACCTAATATGTGCTGGTCTAAGATGAGTCAAATGCTAAAATGGAGCCGGGAAACCTGGGGAGAGAAAAGATGTGATCTATCGATACATCAACTCCTCCCTGCCCTCCTTGCCTGCCTGGAGGACTGGCCATTCTAGAGGAAACTTCCCAGGCTCCTGAGCCACCAGGAAGACACGCATGATGGTGAAGACACAGAGTAAGAAGCAGAGAAAGGGCAGGGAGAGCGGTGCCAGAAGGAAGCTGGGGCCTATATATCAGCTCCTCATTCCTGTCCACAACTCCACACACATGGGAGTAAGGGAGAACTGGGAAGGCACAGCTTCCTTCTTTAATCCTCAGGGTAAGTCTAGTTCCAAGTGAAGATACCACTGGCCTGGAGCCCGAGTGAATCAGGGTCCTTTAGGACCTTTGTAGAAACTCATGTACCCTAAACCTTGGGGCCTAAGGTATAAATCCTCACTAGGTAACATGTACGTGGCATGACCACCTGTCACATCAGGTGTTTAGATCAGTGACCTTTCCAGCTACCATCATTGGGCACCCACTATGTACCAGACCAGGGATGAGTAAACTTGTCCTTGTAAAGAGCCAGGGAATAAAGATTTTAGGCTTTGTGGGCCATCCAGTCTCTGTTGCAACCACGTAGCTCTACACTGTGGCGTGAAAGCATCCACAGACAAACGGAAATGAATAGGTGTAGCTGGGCTTCAATAGAAAAAGTTTAAATCTAGCCTGTTGGGCATAAAGTACTGATCCCCGTGCTAGATGTGGCCTAGACTGTTGACCTACGTAATCTCACACAGTCGATCTGACAGCCCCACGCAGTTAGCATCATTATTTCAACTGTGCAGAAGAAGAAAATGAACGAAGCTCAGGGGATTTGAGAACTGTGTCCAAAGTCACGTGGCTAGTGAGTGGTGAAGCCAAGGTTCACACCGTCGCAGGCTCCTCCCGTTGTATCTAAGGGGGACTTTCTACTCTTCACGGATGTAAGTGATACGTGCCCATTTAAAGGTGAATTTTTCAGAATACATTTTTTCACAGAACTCTTTCTAATGTCTTGATGGCTCAGGCTACACTTATACACAGTCAAAATTACAGAAGGGCACACAACAGAACCATGCCCCTGGGGCCAAGGAACTGATGGTTCCAGTCAAGCCTTTTCCATCCTGCTGCCTCTCTCTTTCTGGACCCCCTCGCCACTTCTTGCTGGTGTTCTGCTTCAGCTTCCAAACCCTTATCACCTGCAATGTGCCCTCTGCTATAGTATAGGAAGGACTGAGATTGTCGAGTTAAACCAGACAATGTCACAGGCTAATCTGCCGTCAGTAGGGTCTGGTCTACATATAGCTTCCACGCCTCGTCCGTGCACCGGGTGAAAACAGACGAAATCGCCATTTCTGAAGGTCAGAAGTGGCAGTTCCATACAGTTCGACCTAATCATAGGGAGCACAGACCCTGAGATACGCATTTCCTCTGGAGCTCACGGCGTTTTGCTTCGCCTTTTACTTCACTGCTCCTGGACGTGCCGCAGAGGATTAAAGCGCCAGCAGGGGAGCTGTCAGCAAAGGGGGTTAAGATACAATCATTCCTCACATCCACTGCGTTCTACCACACCAGGGCCGGAGGGCGGGCAGTCAGTCAGATGGCTTCTCTGCCAGTCACCTGCACGCCAACATAGTTTTCATCCCTACTTTTCAAAATCCATCTTTGCAGGAGCTTCTGCACAACCGTCTCTTCAGTTCTCCTTATTGGAATGTCACAAAGTGGCCAGGTGGGTTTAATAGGCTCACAGGACGGTAAGCAAACAGTCCAAGGGAATGAAGGAAGGAACACAAGGAAGAAACCTCGCAACCTGGATTAAAAAAAGCTCCTTGGACTCCTAAAATATCAGAAACTTTACTTAAAAAGCAAGGACTCAACACAAAAGGACTACAAGATGGATCATATGTTCCTCTCAGTTCAACGTGGGGCTGACTTTCAGAGGGCTCCAGGGGAATATGTGTGTAGATCTATATTTATACCCCTAAAGGGCTGATCCATTTTCACTTATGCTAACGATAAAATCAATCAAGTGTATAAAGAAAGAAAAAGTGAGAGACAAGGAAGAGCTGCCTTCAGATTCAGGTTTCTAGGGGTAAACAATACGGACTTTCAATGATTCCTAAAGATGACGAATCAGTGTAGATAAAAGCTTAAAATAAACCAGTAGAAATAACAGAAGTTAATGAAAGGGGCTGATAAACTTGTGGCATAGTTTCTTTCCCGGAGGAAGAGAAAAAATTTTCCAGGTACACAGGAGATTTCGGCATTTTCCTAGAAACTAGTAGAAAGTACAAGTTAAGAAAATTAAAGCAACCTAAGTGTCCATCAACAGATGAATGGATAAAGAAGATGCAGTACATATATACAATGGAATATTACTCAGCCATAGAGAAGAACGAAAGTTTGTTATTTGCAGCAACATGGATGGACTTGGAGGGCATTATGCTAAGTGAAGTAAGTCAGAGAAAGACAAATACTGTATGATATCACTTATATGTGGAATCTAAAATATACAACAAACTAGTGACAAAAAAGAAGCAGATACAGAGAACAACTAGTGGTTACCAATGCTGGGGGAGGGGCAAGACAGGGGTGAGGGATTAGGAGGTACAAACCATTGGGTGTGAGGTAGGCTCAAAAGTGTATTATACAACACGGGGAATAGAGCCAATATTTTTCAATAACTGTTAATGGAAAGTAACCTTTAAAAATTACATTAGGGCTTCCCTGGTGGCGCAGCGGTTGAGAGTCCGCCTGCCGATGCAGGGGACGCGGGTTCGTGCCCCGGTCCGGGAAGATCCCACATGCCGCGGAACGGCTGGGCCCGTGAGCCATGGCCACTGAGCTTGCGCATCCGGAGCCTGTGCTCCGCAACGGGAGAGGCCACAACAGTGAGAGGCCCGCGTACTGCAAAAAAAAAAAAAAAAAAATTAAAATTTTTAAATGCAAAAAAAGTGTTTGAAAAAAGAGAATTAAAGATTTTTAATACTAAACCTTGTTCTCCACCTGGACACTGTCACCTTCCCCCAGCACGGCTGTGTGATGAGGTTCTATTTTTTGTTGCGTGTCATCAGGTCCTACAAAAAAGACGACCCACTTAATTTAGTCCTCATGGTAGTACATTTCTCATACGATTACAAACTTGGTTAACTACACGGCACCATAATATGAATTTCAAGTTCAGAAACAACCAACTTAGGAATCTCCTGAAATCTCGTTGATGGTATTTGCTACTATTAAAGTCCAAAACTGGCTGCTTTTCAATGTAGAAAAGGACAAGGAAGTGAATCCTGTATTATGTTTCCACTTACACTTTCAATGTCATGCCTAATAGGTTAATTAATAAGCAAAGTCCTTGGCATTACATGCTAATAAGAGTGTTTCCTTGGGTCAATTATAAACCTCAAAAGATTTAAGCATGCTTAGGAAAATTAGTAAATTCCATCATTAATTCCTTTCCACAAGTATTTATTGAACACCTACAACTAACTGCCCAGCACTGTGAGAAAATGCAAAGAAGTGCAAAGCCGATTCCTCACATACAAATAACTCAAAATCTCACTGAGAGAAAGTAAATATATATTCATAAAACAGAGACTAATTCAACTGGAAAACAGCTAAGTTGGAGAGCTAGTGAACAACACCTGTGGAACTATGTACAAAGCGCTATGCTAAATGCTGCGGGAGTGGGGAGGTTTCAGGATAGATATATTTCCATCCCTCCTATATTAAGGCTCACAGATGAAACAGAAAAAATAATACAAATGAAATTGTGTGTTAAAGGCAATAAGAAAGGAATAAACAAAGTTCAAAGAGAGAACAGGGACTGCAGGGCTCTGCAGGATCAGATAGACCGATAAAAGGCAAAGCTACGATAAAGGGTGCTCTAGACAAGAGGACAGGCTGTGCAAAGGTGAGGGGCTGGCAATGTGCAGGGCATGCCCGGGTGAACCTTCTATCATTGCTGGAACATTCTCCTGGGAGGAATGATGGCAATGCACACTTGCTTCAGGTCAAGGGAAGACACGAAGGCCACGCTTATCCGTATAAAACGGAGGACCTCTGAGGAGAGGGTGTGTGTGGGAAATGGTTAGATCTGTGTCTTGGAGAAATAACTGAAAGCAGAGCACAGAATAAATTGGAGAGGGCACGACTGAAGTTAGGATGACCTGTTAGGAGTTTATTCTAACAGTCTCAGTGGAAATGAATTCCAGTCTGAACTGGGAGAGTGGACACAGAAAGAAAGGAATGGGTTTGAGAGGTGGAGTGGAGAAAGAAAGACTGGGCAACAATGGGAGAGAGAAGAGCCGAAGAACACGATTCTCCCTAGAAGCAGCATCATGCAGCGGCCTGAACGGCCACAGCAGGCGGCGGGTGGGACGTGGCTGGGCCTTTCAGCTGACTGAAAACCAGACACGTGAACACACAGCAGAGAGAAGACTCCGGGCAGGCTGAGAAGCCCGTAACGATGTCCGCATGACATTCTGGACTATTAAAAAAAAGGGCATTCACCTGACACGATACAGCTAAAGCTGAATAATCAACATGGAAGCACTTATTTAAGCAAAAGCAGTAGCTTGAGGAATTACCATCTAAACATAATTTGTGAATTTTGTGAATACTGACTGGAGTTCAAACATAGTCATATTTTCTAGAGAAGGCCTCCCTTTCACCTCCACTTTGGAGATAACCTACATGAAGCAGCAGGGTTCATTCTGATGCTTGCAAACGTGAAATAGGATTCTAACAGAGAACTTCTTAACCTGGAGTCAACGTGTTCCCAAGGGGTCCATGGATAGAATTCAGAGCAATCATGGACTTGCATGGGAGACAAATGACATCTTTATTTTCACGAACACCTAACTGAAATGTGGCCTTTCTTTCAGTCATGACTGTAGCCAGAAAACCACAGCAGTATTAGCTGGACCAATGATTTTGTTTCCAGTAGAAATCACGGATATTTTCATATCACATTAGCATTGTAAAGATCTCAAAATAAGTTTATGTTAATCACTACTTAGCAATTTAAAGTAGACCTGCTTCTGGATCATGTTATTTCAAATGTCATCAGAGAAGCACACGTGGAACTGTATCACAGACTTGTTCTTTTAACCTTTTAATGACACCACTGAATTAAAAAAAACCCAGAAAACATTGTTCAGAGGTGGGGCCTTGGCAAATGTCAAAAGGGTTCATGGCACAAAAAGCTTAGGAACTTCTGTCTCAGAGGCAGTGGTGTGCTAGTTAATGTTTACCAACCGGCTTTCGGGGACAAGGGGAAAAACAAACCTGATTTGTACTGTGTGCCAATTTCCATGGTTTAAATGCTCCCGTTGTGGCCAATTTCAAGCTACCAATCTGAGGCCAGGGAAGAGGTACACAACCTGCTCCAGCAAGAGCGAGCCCCAGCACATCACTGAAGGTTTCTTCTCCCCCAAGGATTTAGGTTAACAGATGTCACGGCAGTGAATGATAGAACTCCGCTGATTTTCCACTCATGCAAGGATGTGGCCATAGAAAGAGGGGTCTCGGAGTCTAAGAATCATCTCATTTAGATTGGGGTAATATTTTAAACTGTGAGATAAAGCAGCATTAAGTGTGCTTTACTGAGATTCCCTGGGAGCAATGAACCATGTCTTTATCTTCAATGAATTCATATGTAACACCCATTACCCATGTGGTCTACCCCTGACCCCTAATTTTATCATGTAGGATGTTTTATGATACAGAGAGCAAAATGATTTATAAAGCCCCTTCACTATGTTTTAATGGAGTGAGCTGGCAAGAGACAGCTCTCAAAAATCATGCTGAACTGGGATTTCTCTGCACCTCCTACCAGGGTAGCTTGCTCGACTGCCAGTCATTGGTCTATGAGAAAATCTTAATTTAGAAACAGAGTTCATGTTTCCCTAAGAGTTCTCATTCTAATTTTATACGGAATGCAACTTCCGCTCATTCTCCTTGCTGATCTAGGAGAGGAATCACAGTATTGATTCTGAAGAGGCCATTTGAAATGCTCCACCATAAGGCAAACTTTTTTTTTTTTGCGGTACACAGGCCTCTCACTGTTGTGGCCTCTCCCGTTGCGGAGCACAGGCTCCGGACGCGCAGGCTCAGCGGCCATGGCTCATGGGCCCAGCCGCTCCGCGGCATGTGGATCTTCCTGGACAGGGGCACGAACCTGTGTCCCCTGCATCGGCAGGCGGACTCTCAACCACTGCGCCACCATGGAAGCCCAGCAAACCTTTCTTATAGACACTGGAAAGTCAGGTTTTTAAGATTAATCATTCTAAGTGTACCTTTAGCTTCTGTATTATTTTATAAAATGTTTAAAGCAGGATCACATAAAGCAAAGATTGATTCCATCTTCATGTTATTTCTATGCTGTTTCACCCATCTGGTTATCTCCTCAACCTAAAATAAGTCTCAAAGAAAATATATTTTATTGGTTCTGACTACTTTCAATTATAAATCGAGCCAAATCAGATAATAAATAGTTTCCACTGGGAAGCTTCGCCAAGATATCTAATAGTGCAGTTCAGGAAAATTTAACTGAAAACGAATTGCAAATATTTTTGTTTGCGTAAACAGTCATGAAAGGGCAAAATACTTTAAAACATTTTAAAGTTAGTGCTGCATCTTCAGTGTGTGGTTTATTGCTGTGAAACTTCTCCCCATACACAAAATTTCCTTTTTCTTCTTCTCTTTACAAGAACTACTGTCCCATTTACCCTCTGTTCCGTACATTCTGGTACTTCTATCACAGATTTTGATATCATCAATTTTGTATGTATAGTTGAAGCCTTCTTACCTGATGCAATCCGGATCATTAATTGAAAAAGATTAAGCTGCTTCCAACATTGTACTTTAAATTAAATTGTAAATGTGCATCCATTTGCCAATTTTTAGAAATTGGATTGAAGCACTGCCTTTCTTTATAAAGCATACCCATAATGCACCACTGAAATCCTTCTAGATTTTCACAGTTTCCCCTAATCTTTTACTGTCATCTCCGCCATACTAATTCTAAGAGTTTTCTTTAGCAATATACTTTTACAAAGCATTTGACTTTCGTTGCTCTAGAAATACAAACTCTTTTCAAGCTTATTTCGTTAATTTAAATATTATTTAATTAAATCGCATAATTGCAATCATTCGTGCAACTGGCATAAACAGATTAGAGAACAATCACACCTGCCTTTAAGTCCACTTCAACTTGCCAGGGGGAGTAGCAGGGGGCAAGTGGACCAGGGGAGCCGATCATCCTGGGCGTTCAGGCACCTCATTCAACGTATTCCGCATGGAATGAGGCGCACTGCTTAGTCTAATTCATTTTGGGTAAGTGGAGGTCAGCTCGGAGGGCTCCTAGTGTGTTTCCCCACCTTTATTGAGATCCAGGGGCTGTGTCAAACTTTTTAATTCCCCCCAGAACCAGAAGCAAAGCGCAGAGCACAGTGAGCATGAATAATTACTTATTCAAATAAGTTTGAAACATTTTACTACCCACATAAACCAGTTAGTTGTCATCTCAATAACCACAAATATTTTTAGATTTCTAAATGTATTTTCTAAGCCCCAACAGTATATTTGATACTGGTTCTTCTAAGGGACTGGCATGCAAGCTGATAAACTGCCCCAAGCTTCAGGGACACAGGATACAAACTCCTGTAACCTGTTGATCTCTGTGTTGATGTGTAATGTCATTTTCATCTCAGCTGCAGGGAAGGGGTTTAGAGCTAATATCCTTGGGATTTACTGGTTTTCTGACCATGTTGTTTTATTTTCTTGTTTGTTTTTTTTTTAAATCATATACTGCATAAGATTTCAGCCGGGGGCTGGTCAAAGGACTTGTTGCCTCAGAAAAAGACTGCTGTCAAAGATCTTTCTCCTGCACAATTTCTAAAGCTACTATTCAACAGTCAGAAGGCTTGAAAAAAAACACAATGTATCAAAAATTAAGAAGATCCTGGAAATCCATAAAACATCTCAAATAAGTACTCTTAAATAAGGAAGTACTACTTCTATTTGTCTTATTTTAGTCCTGTTAATTCCTTCTCTTCTTCAGGGTGTCGTTAGTGGGCGATTACATGACTTCACTATGCTCACCATGAACTTTAAAATATCTAATTTAGACAACTAGTTAACGTCCAGCATTTTCTAATGTTCAAAACTCCACCTGTCCTTACAAAACTAACTCTACTGATGTCCATCTTTTAAGTACTTCCTGCGTCAATTAATATTTTTTAAAATTTATTATTTGGCTGCGCCGGGTCTTAGCTGTGGCACATGGGATCTTCACTGCCGCATGTGGGATCTTCATTGTGGCACACGGGATCTCTAGTTGCGGCATGCGGGATCTTTTTTGTTGTTGTTGTGGCATGTGGACTCTTAGTTGAGGCATGTGGGATCTAGTTTCCTGACCAGGAATCGAACCCAGGGCCCCTGCACTGGGAGCGTGGAGTCTTAACCACTGGACCACCAGGGAAGCCCCAATTAATATTTTTAACAGTCATCCTAATCTCCACTTATGGAATCTCCCCAGACTACTTTCTCAAGCCAAATCGCAGTCTCTTTATTCCAGCCCCATACATTAAGTACATATTTATAACATCTATTTCAACAGAACGGAGGTACACGACATTTAAGATAATTAGTTGCTTATCAGTTCCTGCCATCTGTGGTTGCCTGCTGCCATCCTGGTTTTATAAGCAAGACAAAATTGAGGCAATAAACTCAGCATTTTTTGGATTCTCTCTATAGATTGATAGGTCAGTACACATTCAATAGCTATTTCTGCTTTGTTGTTTCTTTTTCTCTGGTGATGTGTTCTTGCCCTTTTGTTTTTCTCATTAATATCTCCATTCAGGGGTCAAGAGGAGGAAGGGAAGGAGATGAAATTCAAATGAGGTCACCTGGCCAGCTATTCGTTGGCTGAAGCAGGTTCCCAAGAGGGCAGTTTCGTGAGGTAGATTCTCTCCATGGTCCACTTTACCCTAGACAGATGCAAGTTTGCTCCAACACTACAGACCGTGACCCCATTTCCTGCCAGATGTTTTGCACTTGTGGCTCATGGTCATGAGAGGTGACCAGGCCAGTGAACAGGGATGACTCAGGAAAATCCTGCCTCACCTCGAGAAAAACAAGTGGATGTGTAAGTCATTCTTACCCCTCGAACCACTGACCTTTTCACTTGTTAAATTCTTGGACTAAAGGTCTGTCAGGAAACAAGGCTCTAACTACTGATTCAAACAGGGTTTGAAGATTATTTGTTAATCTTTCTCCCCTTCAACCTCTACAATGTCACTTAAACTGAAGGGGTTCAGAATGAGACTCCCCAAGATGTGCCACTTTGGCACGCAGATTGTTTTGAGCTGAAGACAGTCAAGGCCCAAAAGACTCAGGAAGAGCTTCTAACCACTCTCTTAACTACCTTAAAGAATTTAGATAAGGGGCCTGGTTCAAAGAGAGAGCTATTACCAGAGATAACTTTCATCTGAATGACCTACCTGGCTGGCAGGGCAAACATCTAATTACCAAACATCTGCTCTTCTTATCATCCTGTGAATGACTCTCCTCCCCTTTGAAGCCTCAGGTTCCTATCTCATTCTTTGCCTCAGGATGGCATCTGCCCAACTTGCCCTTGGGTCTCATATTTTACGGGACCCCTGTACCTATGTAATTAAGTTTGTTTTTCTCCTGTTAACCTGTCTTACGTCAATCTAACTCATAGCCCAGCCAAAAAGAACCTAGAACAGTAGAGGAAAAATTTTCCCTTGCCTATAAAACCAAAGTCAAATGTGAGCTTTTGTAGAGCCCACAAGCTAAGAAAGGTTTTTATGTTTTCAAATGGCTAAAAACAATCCCAAGAGTAGGAGTTCATGACACATGAAAAATATATGAAATTCACGTTTCAGTGGCCATAAATCAACTTCTTTTGGAACAACCATCCCAATTATTTATGTATCACCTGTGACTGCTTTTGTGCTACAAAGGCAGGAATGAGTCACTGCAACAGGAACTGTATGGCCCGCAATGATGGAGATAGCTGCTATGTGGCCCTGTCCTTTCTCATTCTACACATTTCTGGTACCCTTACCACCTCAGAATCCATGTGCTTGATTACTTTCCATTTGTGCAGATTATTTTATTTCTCTTGAAATCCTAAGTCAGGGGTGCTACCTCCATAAAAATGGCTTTTACTCCATTTTAGAAAGTACTATGTGATAACCAAGATTTTCAAAAGATCATAAAAACAAATGACGCTTCATCCCTTCCAGATGGTTAATATAGTTTAATGTGTGTGCCCACGGACTTGTGATACTACTACTAAATTGTTTTCACACTTTCTCAAATGCTGAAATAAATGAATTTTGCTTCTGAATCATAATTGAAACGCTAATCAATGAAAGAGGAACTAAGCCCATTTCTGTGGTATAAAATCAAAATACACGAACTTGTGGTACCACTATTTTTCAGAAGATTAATTTCAGGCAATTAAACTGCCCTTCTGGAGAATATAAAGAATGCTTTAAATGGCTTTGGGTGTAGCCTTCAAGCCCTCAGCAGACAGTATCAGTGAGCCAGCTGTCCGGGGCTGGGAGTGTGTCGTCCAAGGAAGTAGCCATGCTAGGGCAGCAAGCTCACTGCAGAGGAGGCTACCCTACAGGTTGGGGTAAAGAGCTCCAACCACAGAGGGCCTCAGAAATGGGATTCTTGGCCTGTAGCTTGGAGCGGTCAGATGCTCTGCTCCATCCCCCTCACCCCGTCCACACCACCCATCACGGCCATGAGGGGCAGGGAAGGGGAGAAGGGAGGCTGGTTCTCCTACTGTAGGTTTTCCCAGAAGCACTGCCTGAGGTGCATATTTGAGTCCAAGGAGTCTATCTGGGAGGCAGTCCCAGGAAACACCAGTCCAGGAATTGGGAAAGTTAGACAGGAAAGGGAAGGCAGACAATGAAGGATGTGTTACCAAGGACGCTCACATGGGTTGCTTGAACATAACGCCTCCAGGTGACTCTAGGAAAAGGCCTCACACACAGGCCTCAGCGTTATCCCACCTGAGGGGCAAGGCAGCTTCCTTAGCACTTTCATCCTGCCCTGACTGGGGCAGAGTAGCCTTCCCAGGATTCAGAGAAAGCCTCAGGCCAAGAAACACAGGTACTACTGGCAGTTGGAAGTTGGTCAGTGGGCCCTGACAAACCTACAGCGACCTTTCCTGGCCTCCATGCTGCTTCTAGGAGGATGGGGAGAGTGGGAGTAGATACAGGCCGGAGCCAGCCTACTCTACAAGCTCCACTCTCCCACCACTCCTGGCTCTTCTACTACTGGGTTGGCTAAAGGGTTTAGACTGGAAAAGACAAGTTAGATGGTGTGGTTCCTGTGTTGTCATCGTACAAAGGATATGGGGTGGGGCACAGGGAGTGGAACTGACAAGCCCTTGGTTCTGGTCCCAGGTCTACCAATGCATAATTCTGGCAAGTTTAATAGCTCTCTAGACTTTACATACCTCATCTATAAAATGAGAGTTGACTGGGTCTCAAACATCCCTTCCAGACTAGACTCAACAAGTGACACATGCACAACCCCTCAGAATAAAAGAAAACCGACTTAGAGATTTCTCAGAAGCACCTGGGACTGCAAATTCACCTCCTTCCACCTCCCAGGAGATAGTGTCCTGCTCCCCTTGCAGCCCATTAAAGCTCCATCCCTTTATCAGTATGGGGCTTGCCAACATCCTAGCAAGGTGTCAACCCACATAATTGCGCCTGGACCTTACATGTGCACACAGGCCACAGTAAAATGGCTGCTGTCATGTCTGGTGTTCCTATTCTCCTCCCTCACTGAATATACTGGAAGCTGAGAGGTGCCCTGCCCTGGGTGTACCAGGATGTACCAGGATGTACAGGGGGCTGGTGCCGAACAGGAGGAAACATAGTATTCAATTACACGAAAGGTTTCATCTTACCTTTCCTTCCTGGCAGTAGTTTAAATGATATTGCAATTGAACCCAAAGCAACAGACTCATCACTTACCAATATACACATTTCCAGATATGGTATAAATGAAGCTTGTCCACCCTGAAAAGGGACCAGCGACATTAAAACGTTAGTGTCCATAATGCCAAAAGGAACAAAGAGATAACAATATCAAATATTTAATACTCTACATATGACATACAAATATATAAACTTATATAAGTTACAGATACAAAAGGTTTGAAGATGAAATCTTTTAGATATACATACATTTTAAAACTTAAGTTCTGTAAACAGTTTTAAGCACAGTCCCACATGCATGCATCCACACACACACCCCAAAACCTAAATGACTTGGCCTCAAGTATTTAAGAGCCGCCCAAGTAGACAGTGTGTTATTCACTGGCTATATATCTATATGCCAACAGCTGTACTAACAAACAAGCTGTTCCTTCCAGGTCGAACATCATGTTAATAACTACAACACACCAGTCTGGCTTATCTTCAGTTCCTTGGGCCTCCAGTTTTTTTTTGGCTGTGTTGTGTCTTCGTTGCGGTGCGCGGGCTTCTCATTGCGGTGGCTTCTCTTGTTGCGGAGCACGGGCTCTAGGTGCGCGGGATTCAGTAGTTGCGGCGCGCGGGCCCTAGAGCACACAGGCTTCAGTAGCTGCAGCATGTGGGCTCAGTAGTTCTGGCTCGTGGGCACCAGAATGCAGGCTCCTTAGATGTGGCGCACGGGCTTAGCTGCTCCACGGCATGTGGGATCTTCCCGGACCAGGGCTTGAACCTGAGTCTCCTGCATTGGCAGGCAGACTCCTAACTACTGCGCCACCAGGGAAGTCCCCTCCAAACAGTTTTAAGTGACAACCCACTATCTGCCCTCTTGGAACGAGCACTGGATTTCCACGGATATTTACGTATTGTCCCTATAGCCCACAGGGGACGCTGCAGCACCACTGAGGGACATGAATGTAGGAGTGGCCAGCTCAAAACAGAATCAGAACATCACTCCGTGTGCCTTTGGGAGAAAAGAAGATCTGCGAAGGGAATGTAGGGCCGAGTCCAAGGTACAAGGGCAGGACCCAGACTGGAGTCTGTGAGAGAGTCAACGTGGTGGCAGAGTAAACAAAACCAAGGCAGGCATGGAAGAATCACAGAGGACAAAGTAGACTCTAGGGATGTGGCTGTGCTGGCAGGTGGGTTGAAAAGTGCAAGAGAGGCCCACGTGATAAGGCATGACTGATCAAACTTAACATAAACTGAGTCTGGTTCGGAAAGCCTGAAGGATGGCAAAACAAAGACAGACACTCAGGTGGACGCCAGACGGTATTTTTTTCATCCTCCTATTTCACACTTTTTCCTCCCCGAGATTTTACGAGAATGAGTGTAAGGGCTCTGGAATTAAGTCTAACTGCTCAGAGCACACTCGCACTTTTGCTCCCTTACTGACCCACTGGCTCAGTCTTCTGAGCTCCGCCTCCCATCATCCAGTGACCAGCTACCACTCAGGTGCACTTGTTGTGGGTGGAGACAGAAAGACGACGGCACAGCCAGGGGTCTTCACATTGTCCAATTTGGGGGGACGGAGGTTCGTGCTAGATGCTGAAAACACATGCTAACTGTTCTCAGCCCATAAATATCATTAGCAATTCGGTATTTGTGTTTTCCGTTTCTTTTCTCTTTTATGCACTATATATTATTTGCTTAAAAACTAGAACTCAGTGTTCTATTTTGGATAGCTTCCCAAAACACAGAGAAATAATTCATCCTTGGGAAAGACTGCAAAGCATTCCATTGCAAGGACGTGTTGTGATTGACATAATCGATCCTCTCCTCATGGTTGAAAGGTATTAAAAATTAATGGTTTCCAAGTTTGACAGAACGTCAAAGCTCTCAATTGTTCAAGTGGGTTTTTATTTGGAATCATTTTGATTGTTCTAAACTCATTTCTCCTCCACCGCCTCTGCTTCATTCCTACTCACCCTTCAAGCAGAAAACTAGTCTACACATAATTGCCTCGGTCTGTTTTCTTTCTCTTTTTATCTTTTTAAATCTTTTATCCAGAAGGACCAAACGTTTGCTTAAAGGAATGGCCAAGTCAATGTATCATGTGCATTCCCCTGTTGTTGTTCCTTGCAAAAGTCTTCCATTAGGATACAGACTCAACCTTCACCATCAATAACACAATTCATGCTACTGGCTAGAAGGCACAGAGTGTTACAGGGAATAAAATAGCAACAGAGGGCAATTTCCTTTTTTCCTTCTTTTTATCATGTTGTCTATCTGCACTTGCTTTCTATTGAACCTAGTTTAATTCCCACTAAGCATTTTTTCTTAAAGCTATAGCAAAACAAGAGTCAAATCACGTGAATGCTTACTATATGTTTACGAACTACCACATTTTTTTGGAATTCCTTCTCTGCCAAGAGCAGGATTGTATCATCAAAGAGTTCTCTTGTGAGATTTTCAGGTCCTTCTCATCTTTCTTTGTTCCCCTATCTTTCCTCCCACTTTTCTGTCCTGCACCAGGAATGGATACCATCCTGGCATTTTTATTTCTGTCTGAGGTCACAGGCCCTGCAACTGTGGTCTCCAAGCTACTGGCTCTTCACAGCTGGGAAGCTCTTTCCCCTCCCCTCCCTCAGTCAATGACAACGAACAGGAGCTGGGATGAAGGTCACATTAACCCCTGGTCCTGTAGCTTGGGTTAATCGGCAACACATTTATGTCAGCCCTTCTTCAGTCCAACAGAAGACGTGGAAAACTTTTCTTTTAAACACAAATCATTTTCTGTGGCATTTGCTCTCATTTCCAGGGAGGTTCCCAATTCTTGCAAACATCCCTAGTGAGAGCGTTTCTTGGCCTACATTCCTTGCCTTAACCCAGCTCATTTTCCTTCCCCCTCAGTCTTAAGTTCATTATTTCAAAGAACTTTCCAATGGCTGCTTATACATGAATGTGTAGAGAAAGTAGAAAAACATGACTTGGTGGCACGCCAAATCCATGACAAAGGTCAGCTCTGGGTTCGAAAGGGGAGAGGGGAACAGGGCTAAGGAGAGAAGAAACCTCTACCCAAACTCTGGGTCACACCAGATAGCCCTGCATTCAGCTTGGGTAGGCAGCTCACTCACCATGGACCTCATGCTTGGCCTCCTGGACAGGAGGCAGACCCACCGGGTCTTCCCTTCCCCCTCCTCATTCCACCAAATTATTTGTTAATTTTTCCTTTGAAATAATTTCAGACATACAGAACAGTCACAAAAATAGTATAGAGAATTACCATACACCACTCACCCAGATTCTCCAAAAGCTAACCTGTTATCACATATGCTTTAACATTCTCTCTAGAAATATACATCATTCTTTATTTTCTGAAATATTTGCGAGTAATCTTGGAGACATGATACCCCGTTACCTTGAAATAATTTCCTAAAAACAAGGATATTTTCCAACGTAACCCTAGTGCACTTATAAAAATTATGAAATACAATATCAGTTTAAAAATTATGACCATTAATACAATACTATTAGCTACGTACAGATATTCAAATTGAGCTAGTTGTCTCAGTAATGCTTTTTAGGGCAAAAAGAAAAAACCATGTCTAGGCCAGGATGGAATCCGGGTTCACATGAGGCATTTAGTTGTCATGTCTAATCTCCTTTCATCTGAAATAGCTCCGCAGTCATTTTCTTCATTAAAAGTACAGACCCATTATTTTGTAGAATGGCCCTCAGTTTGGCTTTGTGTGATGTGTCCTCATCATTAGGCCACATTGTTTGTTAATCCCTTTCCCTCTCAACTTTAGAGACTGGTTTTTGTTTATTTTCAATACTTTAATATTTTAGTTCAGAAGAGCACAAAGGATGAAACAATGAAATAGACATTGGCATATTTATTTCATATCTTCCTTCTCTTTTACAGATAAAATCATATAGGTGAGAGAAACAGCCCCTAACTGGTTGCCTCCGATCAGTTTTCTACACGCAGAGAATGTGACTTTGTTGCAGGAGAAGGGGGCACGAGAGAATGGTCACGTCCCAGGTCTCATCCGAGCCCCTGGGACGGGCTGCCAAGTGAGGGTCGTTGGCTTCACAAAGGAAGGAATTCAAGAGGGAGCTGAAGTAGAGTGAAAGCAAATTTATCCAGGGAGATATGTGCTCCATAGACAGAGTGCGGTCCATCTCAGAAGGCAAGAGAGGCCTCTAGGGTGTGGGGAGGTTAGATTTTATGGGCTGCGTAAAAGACTAACGAGTGGGAGGAGTATTCCAGCTAATTTGGGGGAGGGGCGGGGATTTCCAGGAATTGGGCCACGGGCCATTTTTCTGGCCTTTTGTGGTCCACCTGGGAACTGTCACAGCAACTGTGGGTGTGTCATAAACATGCTAACGTATTACAATGAGCGTATGATGAGGCTCAAGGTCTAAAGGAAGTCAAACCTTCTGCCATCTTGGGCCTAGTAGGTTCTAACCAGTTTTTGTTGTACGTATCTGCTTCGATTGTCACATCTCTTTCTCTCTCACTCTGACTCCCATCTCCCTCTTTCATTTATACAGATCCTTAGGATTACCTCAGTCCGCCTGGATCACCCAGGCTAATCTCCCCATCTCAAGATCCTTAACTTAATCATACCTGCAGCATCCCCTATACCATGTAAGGTAACACATTCAAAGGTTACAGGATTAGGTCGTGGACATCTTCGTGGGGCCATTATTCTGCTTACCACAGAATAATGCGATAAGCTATATGTTCTCCAAAGCAATTTTGTTGACTGATGTACATATACTCTAAAGAAAAGTTAAAAGTTGAGGGAAGCAAAATTAAGTTTTTCGATACCATAACAATCCTCCATTTTTTAACACTCCAGATCATGCTTTTAAATGCCAAGTAGCAGGGATACTGTGAAGGAAGATGGAGAAAACAAACAGAGTGCTTGTTGAGGGCCCAACTTTGATGCAGTCAGTCAGAAGACAAAGGGGACAGGAGGACCAGAAGGTGCAAGTTTCTCGGCAAAGATTGATATTTTCCTAGAAATACAGATTTATGTCCTTCTCAATGAATGATAACACATGGTGCTATCTGTATATCAGTTTGCAGCAAGGGAAATCAGACTGCTTTGCAAGAGATGGTAAAAGTCACTGCAAAAAAACACAAAACACAACTACTTATTCTTACTTTAGCCAAGAACCAACATGAAAAATGTGAGAGGAATCTGGTACTGTCAGGGACTCAACAGATTGGATTCTTTGTAAGTGATGCACCATCTAGCTCAATTTCTGATATCAAGTGCCTTCCAAATCATCACTGCATGAAACATCTGTTTTCCACAAGATTAGCACAGCCCTACAGAAATGTGCCTTGCCCGAAGGAAATAAAGAGATGGTAAAAATCGATTCCAATATTATTTATGGGATGGAATTCAGATAAAACCTGTCTGACTCATGAGAAATGTTGCCAGTCTCCCTTAACTGGATGTCCCTTGGGACATATACTTTTTTCTGGTGTCAGAAATGGGATGGTAGCAGTGTATGCCTCTATTTCTATCCCTTTAGTTTGGTGATGATACAAGAAAGTCAACATTAAATTAGTTAGATTGCAAAGCTTATGCCAAAAGCCAAACAAAACCCAGACATCCACGTCAAATCCCTTTACCATGAGTAGCAAAACAATCAAAATATTATAAACAAAACATGATCAGGACCCAGCCAATGGGCTACACATTTCAAGGAATATTTGATGCAACAAAGCACTCAAATAAAATGAATTTCGACAGTCCTTGAATTTTATACTGGAATTTGACCTGGAAAGGCGGATAAAAAAAAAAAAAAAGACAAAAGATGAGCTTGACTTGAATGGTTTGATAATAAAACTTGTACAGTATAATTTTACTAGCCAGTATGTTGGATTACAGGCAGCCAGTACTATTGAGTCTATAAATAATAAATGCTTTACAATACCTGAATTAATTGTTTGTCTGGCACTGGACAGGGAAGCCTCAAACGTTAGACTTGTCACCTAACGCAATGAAGGCGTGTATGACTGTATACGGGGGGTGAGGGCACGGTGGGGGGGAGAACACACTGTAACTGGAAGTGACATATTGGAAAAGAAAGGTTCTTCTGCATAACTGGGTTTATAACAGACTCGTTTAAAGTGGGTTTAGAGCGACTCAGTGATGTACGTGCATTTCTAAGCTACTTGTTTTTGTATGCATTCCAAAACATTTTTGAAAACAAATCTCAAGTTTAAAATTCATAATGACAAAATAATCTAGAAGTACAGCTTTGTAAACTGACAGATACACATTCTCTTAAGAGGCAATATATAGGGTGGCAGTGGAGTGCAGAGTCAAAATTAACATGAACCACACACGCAAGTGTTGGTGGGGTCATGGAGAATCTGCAGACCACTGTGCAGTAGCCAAGCGCAGGGGACAAGGGGAGCACCCGCTGACAGGGAAGAGCTAAATGCATCGTAGTCAACCCATGGCGTAGAACGTCGCCGTTCAACCAAGCCATACGAGCAGACTCGGAGGAATTTCCATGAGGTACTGTCTGGTCACAAAAGCAACACGCAAAACATATATTTCTGGTATGATTCCATTTTAGTAAAACAAGGAGAAAATAACCCTGTATGTGTGTATATTTACATGCACATAAATGAAAGTGGAGAAGAGTGAGTGTCGAGAAAAACACTGTAAGATCTAATTCAAGGATATATCTGGCATCTACTGCAGATCTGGGATATACAGGGAGGATACTGCTATGGGTGGATGAGGGAGGGAAAGGGTTTAGAGGAAAGCAAACTCGAAAGTAAAAGAAAAACCCACAGCACTAAAACTTCAAGCACACGTGCTATCACATTTATTGTTATAAAAATTATGTATGAAGGTAGGCATATGCATTCATGTAAAAAATCTTCCTGTACTTAAAAATAGCCAGAATGAAAGAAACCAAAGAAGAAAACAATGGGTCCGAGGCTGATGCCTAATGACCTCAGGGGTGGCCATTTTTAAAAATAAAACTGGCCTTAAACACTTGGGAGTTTTCTAACTGTTCTTTGGATTTAAACGACGACTTAAAAGTAAATCCTCCATAACCAAAGCTGTACCTCAATCAAGAATGCACTTGTTCATAACTTATAACACAGATTGGATTGCCCTCCAGGAACTCTGTGAGTCAAAGGTGGCCCAGAAGTCAGGAGACCTGGGTAAACGTCCTGCCGCGTCCAACGAGTCCTCACGTGGCCTTGAGCAAGTAGCGCATCTGTTGGGTCTCAGCGTTCACAATGATAAAATGAGGGGCGGCCCCAACGGTTCAGCCCTAACATTCTATGAATTCCTCCTGATTTTCTTAACTTGAAAAGCTCAAGCAGTATTTGCTAATTTAAACATAATTAAACGTAAACAAGGTTCACAGAACTTTGTGTTGAGGTTCAGAAACAAGTCCATTCCAGAAAAAGCAGCCCCTTGTGGGTTTTTTTTCCCCCTGAAATGATCACTAAACTGCAGAGCCCATCATACCTTTAGGAATAGGCTGGGAATGCTTTGCTCCTTGGCCCAATCTGAAGTCCAAATATAAAGTTGGTGTGTGAGTGTAACTCTTGGACTGCAAAGAAAAAGGAAATCATCACCATCTTTCCACGAATAAGGTTCATCTTTACCTCAGCTGGACCCTCTGTCATGGGCCTGGAGTCTGGATCCATTAACATATACAATTCCTCCTTGGGAGATGCTGTTAAAGCAGGGAGGATGGGCTGCCAATATAGCCCCCTTCTTAGGGTCGCAGTCTAAAAGTTAGCCCTCCTAGCTTGACAAGCTAATTTCCAGATGACAGCTGTCTCCCTACAGCCATTTCTCAAATATGATCCAATGTCAATAGTTTACTGCCTAATAGCTGCTCCAACTTTCTCACTTCTACCCTTCTACTGAATGTGGTAGGTTAATGCACATCAGATGCATGTTTCTTCCCCAGGTCTCAATAAAGCCATGTCTATTCTGAAATTCAAAGAGGGCAGCCTGTAAATATTTTTATTTGTTCTAACTTGGCCCTCTTGCATAAAAAGGTGGTCCAACGCTGCTGGCCTGAAAAAGCCACAGCTCAAAATGTAAGAAAGACCCACTTTTGCAGGATTTTCCATTGTAAACAGTGGCTTTGATTCGATCAACAGTTCAGCAGAGTTTGTAATTCAGTATAACACCATTCTGAATCACTGGCACAGACCAAAATCTGAGGGATTATCACTGTTGCCATAAACTTTATGACGTTTCATTGTTTACCACAAAGTCCCAGTGGTTCTGTTCTACTTATTTTTTTTAACTTAAAAAACACACAGAGATGAAAAAGTACATAACGCCAGATTCGGCAAGGATGTGGAGTAACTGGAACTTTCATACGCTGCTGGTGGGACTATCACTTGATATAAACACTTGAGAAAACTGTGTGGCAGTACCTAGTACAGATGAATATATGCATAATCTATGACCCAGCATTCCAACTCAATAGGCGTGTCCCCAACAGACATGTCCACCTGAAGACATGTACTCAAATCTTGACGGTGACACTGTCAGCAATAGCCCCAAGCTGGAAATAGTCCCAATGTCTTTAATGATAGAATGGATAAATGAACTGTGATATATACAAGGGACTACAATACAGCAAAGAGAATGAACGAACCCAGCTATATGCAACAACTCAGATGAATCTCACAAGCACAATGTTGAACAAACGAAGGCAGACACAGATTGTATAACATATGATTCTACTTCTATAAAGTTCAAAACAAGGCAAAACTAATCTATCGTATCAGAAGTCAGAAAAGTGGTTACCTTGGGAAGGTTAGTAACTGAATGGGGTTTAAAAGGGGGCTTCTGGAGCCTGGCAATGTTGTTTCTTGATTTCACGGATGAGTTCACTTGGTGAAAATCCTCTGAGCTGTACACGTCATTTGTGCACTTTTCTGTGTATGTTATATTTTAACAAAAAGCTTACACTCATTAAAAACACGCATGTGTAAATAGACCACAAAAGAAAATCCAGAGCCCAGAATTGTTTACTATCCTTGATAAAGGCATCATTTGGCAGAGAAAAACTATGTAAACTCCATGAGGACATGGACATATCTGCCCTTTTCACCCGGGGCCAATGCACAGGGCCTGTCACATAGTAGGTGTTGAATAAATATTTACCAAATGATGTTTCATAATGGAAAACCTCCTGTATAATAACAAATTTATTTTTAAAAAAATAACAAATATATTTACAGTATACATAGCATATTCATCAACTGCTTTACCACCACGTAGCAAAATGCCTCTCTTCAGGACAAGTGATCAGGTATGGCCCAAGTGTATGTCTGTACTTTAAGTTTTAGAATAGAGAATCGTAAATAATGCTATCGGAAGATTGTTCCCTTTCCTGTAAAAGTCTCATGTATAGAAGCTTTGGGCTTTAAGTGGTCTGGTACGTGGTTTTATGTGGCTCAGGAGGACAAGCTGCATCTATACAGCTCCAGAAGCTGGAAAGGCAAATTCCCCTGTGCATGCATAAATGAAAGCAGAAAGACCTGTGACATCAAGGGCAACCTGAGGCCAAAGATTCCCAATCAATCTGAAGAGCTTGGATCACACATGAAACAAGGGCAGCACCCGCGGGATGCAGGGTCCGATCCTCTAGCATCATGAGGTGTGTAAGGCACCATCTGGAAAGGATCTGGTTTTGCCTGATGAAGACTTCTAAAATTACTTCTAAAAAGATCAAGGGGAAACTTCACTTAGTATCGGATGACTCCTCTTCCTGGGCAATATTTTGCTCTCTTCCAGAAAAAGAAGGTTCAAGCATCTTTCCCAACCTCTGCCTCCGGGGCCGCTGCAGTATCCCGGCCTACAGCAAGGACATGAATCAAAAAGAGGCTCTCGGTTTAACTTTTACTAGAATTCTCCCAGAATGTAGTCATAAAAATCATTCCAACCTGGAAACCAGGAGCCTCTGATGCTGGTATTGCTTTTCCTGCTGACTAGCAAAGCCTTTATCTTCTTCTGGGCTTAGTTCACTCAATCTGAAAATCTGGTGTTGGGACTTCACTGATGTTGAAGTGTATTTCTGCTTCTGAAATCTGGAGTCAGAAAATTTTAATGTCTTCCTCCACTTTTTAATATTGTAAATTCCCTTCTGATTTCTCAGACTAGAGCTGTAGAGAAGTGAGAACGTGGCTGGGGCGAGGGAGAGCCATGAGGGCTGTGGGGAGTGAATAGGGGGCTGCTGGCTAACTGCACTACTCTTGCCCTCAAGCTCGGCCATCAGTTTTGCCCTCCTGGTGAGCTCTTTTCTTCCTGCCTCTAGCTTCTCAACCTAATCCATATTGTCCCCCAAACAGTAACCTCTCTCTCTAATGCTGCAAGGACACAGATATGCGTATGCACACACAGACACAGAATTCTGTACTTACATATTCGTTTACAAAATTGTAAACAAGCCAACGAGAGACATTATAAAGCCACAAATATATCCTACTGCCTTACAGTGTGAAAAGGGCTACAGGGAAATATGAAATTCATTTTGAAGGTGTTTTTCACAACATCTATAGCCAAAAACAGAATTCGGATTCTACTTTCCTTTTTGTACTGAAAATCAGATCATTGACGGTTTCAATATAACACGTCTTGAATAAGCAACTACCCCAAACCTATATGTACATTATTCTATTTCAGTTAATCCATCCTGAGATAAAATTCAATTTGAAAGCTGTTCCCATGAGTGTGTGTATACATATATGTATGGATATATATACACACACATACACACACACAGTTTTTGAAAAGCAAATAGGTATTGCTTTTTAAAATTTTGATCTTCCTTGGTAACTGCTGGAATAGCAAATGTAAATTCTGTTCATTTAACTCAAAGATGATAATGCCAGGCTCAAATGCACTTTGAGCAAATCTGGACTTAATTTTTCCATCGCACACACTGCTGCTTTGCAACTTATAAAGGAATATCGCCATTAGGCACACTCTTTCCTGAGTTCTGTTTTGTTTCTTTTCATGTATAGTATTAAACTATTAATAGACCCTCAAAATAGAATGAGACTTTAATTAAGCAAATCATTCCTTTTTGTCCTCAAACTATCTATTTCCACAGGATTAAAATAAATTGGTCCAAGGCAACCCAGAATAAAACATTTCTCTATAAATCTGTTTCAGCATGTACCGAACTAATGCACCTGAATTCCATCAGTAAAATTACTTTCTTTTCCCTTTTTCTTTTGGTCCTGATTAACACTGCCTGCACAGGTACTAAAATCCCAAGCTATTCCTCTTTTGTCTTTCTTTTCTTCTCATTTCTTAATTCTCTGTTTAAAGCATTTGGGAAACTTATCTTTAAAGGTTTTAGTCTGGGGCTTCCCTGGCGGCGCAGTGGTTGAGAGTCCGCCTGCCGATGCAGGGGACACGGGTTCGTGCCCCGGTCCGGGAAGATCCCACATGCCGCGGAGAGGCTGGGGCCGTGAGCCACCGCCGCTGAGCTTGCGCGTCCGGAGCCTGTGCTCCGCAATGGGAGAGGCCACAACGAGAGGCCCGCGTACCGTAAAAAAAAAAAAAAAAAAAGTTTTAGTCTGTATTTTAAAAGCCCAGCAGTTTAAAATCTTACAGTTCAAATACCATGTAAGCAAGCCTTCTAGAAGTGAAGTAACAGAACTCTTTATGAGATGTGAAGGGTAAATTTTGGCTAACCTCTAACAACAGGGGTGCTACCAAACCCAGACAAGCCCTGTCTCTCTTTATAAATATGTCAGAATTAAACCCTAAATGAGTCTAAGACACCACTCCAATAATGACCACAAAACAAGCAAGACAAAAAAACAAGGTCTACAAAACCACTTCCTTCTGAACCCGAACTACCTTCATCTTCTATCCTTCAAAGACCTCCCGCTTCCCCAGGCTTTTGGTATGATACCCGTGTTAACCTGGTTTCCTTCCTCTGCTTTTATTCTTAAATGTGATCTTAATTAGAAGATGAAATCACTTCCACATGGAAGTTATGTGGCTTAGTACGTCTTCCCAAGAAAAAGAGTGCTATGTTGCTTGCTACGTATAAGCATGGTAAAGAAAATAGTCTCTTTCATCTTGCCGCTGCTCCTTTCACAGATAACTGCCACCCGTTTATCCCTGAATGCTGCTCATTTTGCCATCATGCTGGCCTTCCCTAAAAGCAGGGGGCAGCAAGTTGTTACATGTCAGAGCTGTAATAAATACTTTCACATCTTTTTGAGAAGTATTTCGAAAACCCTTGATGATTCAGTGATTTATTCAGGAAATACACTTGAATTCTCAATCTTACTAGACGTTGCTTAAGCAAATTACTCTAAGGTAACAAGTGCAAATCCTCAGTATTGTATAAAAGAAAGAAACAGTGCGTATACCTATTCCTGGATCCTTACTCTCATGTTGGATCATGCCCTTAACGTTGGGCATTTCGTTTTACAGTTGTTCTTTGTTTTTTTGCATCACTGTTAACTTTTTTTTTTTTTTTTTGCGGTACGTGGGCCTCTCACTGTCGTGGCCTCTCCCGTTGCTGAGCACAGGCTCCGGACGCGCAGGCTCAGCGGCCATGGCTCACGGGCCCAGCCACTCCACGGCATGTGGGATCCTCCCGGACCAGGGCACGAACCCATGTCCCCTGCATCGGCAGGCGGACTCTCAACCACTGTGCCACCAGGGAAGCCCCCACTGTTAACTTTTGATGAATATCTTTGCACATGAAATTTTGACCACATTTCTATTTTTTTCCTTCACACTGAAATTGTACATCTAAAAGTCCAGACATTTTAATAGGGCTCTTGAGATATCTACAGCTTTATGGCCAAATGCAATGTGGCTAAAAGTGAGCTAGCTGGTCAACACAATGACATGACTGAACAGCAATTTTCCTGAACAAGTCTACTGCCAGTCATTGGCTTTTCTGGTCTCTGTAATTTTGCTATACCACAGGGCCGTTTTCCAACTCATTAGGTGCTCCAAATAGTGGCTTTTTTTCACTCATCTAATCTCCTATTGTTAGAAAGTTAACTCATTCCAACAAATTCCCTGTTGTTACACATTAAATTTTTTTCCCCCAATACATCCTTGTCCAAAAATAGAATAGAGGGATTAATTGCTGGGGGAAAAAAAGGAAAAGAAAAACACATACCTGGAAATGCCTGAAAAAACAGACAAAAAGAAAAGAAATCAGGAAAAAATTTAACCTAAAAAAAGTTTAAAGGCACAACCTCCACAGTACAGATACCAATATTTGAACAACCAGTGTCTAGCAGCATGTTTCTGAACAAAAAGATCATTTTTATCAATTGTTACACTAACTGAAATGCTTTCATCCAAATTGTTTTTGGTCATATCCGTTGGTAATTACCTGTAAAAAGTGCCCATCTCATCAAATAAGTGACCATCTTATCTTTTTTTAATCTTAGCTTATTTAAGAAGCAGAAATCGATATCTCGTTACTCTTTTAATTTGACTACTAGTTTGGGTGATATTATTATTTTAACAAGTGCTACTAAATGTTATTAACACAAGAATAACAATAACTAAATATATTGAGGGCTTAGTATATACCAGGCACGATTCTTTTTTAATTTATTTATTTTATTTTTGGCTGTGTTGGGTCTTTGTCGCTGCGCACGGGCTCTTCTCTAGTTGCGGCGAGCGGGGGCTACTCCTGTGGTACGCGGGCTTCTCACTGTGGTGGCTTGTCTTGTTACAGAGCACGGGCTCTAGGCACGTGGGTTTCAGTACTTGCAGCACATGGGCTCAGTAGTTGCGGCTCACGGCTCTAGAGCGCAGGCTCAGTAGTTGTGGCGCACGGGCTTAGTTGCTCCGCAGCGTGTGGTGTCTTCCCGGACCAGGGCTCCGTGTCCCCTGTGCTGGCAGGTGGATTCTTAACCACTGCGTCACCAGGGAAGCCCCAGGCACTATTCTGTATGCTTCATGTGTATTAATTTGGCCGCTTGTATTTCCCATTTTATAAAATATCTGCTCATTAACCTATTTATGTTTTCATTCATTACTTAGCTCCCTCATTTAAGAAATACTGACTGAGAGTCTGGAGTGTGCTAGTCATTGGATATGTATATCGGTGAATAACAGATCTGCTCAGCCTTTGTGGTTTACTTCCTAGTAAGGAAGACAATTAAACAAATTAAATATAAAATTACACATGCCATAAGTGAAATAAACAGGGCAGAGGGGAGAAAATAAAATGGGGGAGGAATGGAAGGCATCGAATGAGAAGAGTTGGGGGTAAGAGGTTTCTGGGTAGAGAATGGAGCACAGCATGTGCAAAGGCCCTGAGGCAGTGAAGAGCCTGGAGGATCTGGACACTGACAGGAGAACCACGTGCAGACAGCAGGAGGAGGCTGCAGAGAATGGCATGAGATGAGTTTAGAGAGTTAGAAAAGACCCAGGCAGGATTTCTTTAAAGTACAATGGGAACACACTGATCCAATTTTTATCGTAAAGAGATGTCTTGAGCTGCTATGTGGAGAGCTGGAAGGGAGTAAATAAGAGAGGGGAGGCCCCTGAAGAAGCTGCTGCAGTGGGCCTGGCCAAGGCTGGGCAGGGGATGGGAGAGAAGTAGATTTAAAATATATTTCGGACTACATGCAGGTAGGGGAGGAGATGGAATAAGGATGACCGCCATGTTTCCACTCCGAGCAGTGAGTGGTGGTGCCATTCACTCATTCAGACGGAGAAGCCTGGAAGGGAAACGAGTTTGTGTGTGTTTGCTGTCAAGGCAGGTGTGGGTAGGGAAGCAAGACTTCAACTTTTGCCATTTTAAATTCGACATGCCTGGGAGCCATGCAAATGGAGATGGCACGTAGGTAGCTGAATATATGAGTCCACACAGAGCTCAGAGGTGAGGCTTGTGCTATAAATATGAATGTGGGAGTCGTTTGAAAGTGGGAGACATTTGAAACTGACCAAGAGAATAAATCTTAAAAAGCCTTATCACACACACAAACACAAAATTCTGTAATTCTGTATGGTGACGGATGTTAACTAGGCTTACTGTGTATTGTGGTGATTATTTCACAATATACAAATATCAAACCGCTATGTTGTACACCTGAAACTAACATAATGTTACATATAAATTACAATCCAATAAAAATATAAAATAAATGTGCGAGTTGTAAGACTATAAATGGTATCTAAGCCCATGGGATGGGCGAGATCATCCAGGGAGACGACACTCAATGAGAAGAGGACTCAGGACTGAGATCCAGGGAAGCTGGGTGTTTAGGGGTCTAGTAGAGGAAACGGCACCTACCTGAGAAGTGACACTGAGAAGGAGCAAAGAGCATCCAGAGACACAAGAACGTATTATCTCAGAGGCCAAAGGAAGGAAAGACAGTGTGGAGGAGGAAGCGTGCAACCCGTGCAAAGGAAAGAAAACAAAGACCTCTGGGTTTGGCCACATGGAGTAGTGACTCAGTGCACTGATGGGGGTGGCCGCCAGGCAGAGGGCCTCGACGAGGTGGGGAAGTGGAGAGAACACGTGCCGACAAATCATCTGTGCAGTATGGCTCAGAGAGGGGGCAGAGAACTGCAGGGTGTGGGGTTAAGGGAGTTTGGCGCTTCTCTTCTCAATTTATATGAGAGGGTTTCTTAAAAATAAATTAAAGCTATTTGTCCTTAATACTATTTGTTGGAAAAACCTTGCTTTGGCCTTTCATTTCATTTATGGCATTTCTGACATGGATTATTAGATCTATCCAGCTTTTCCTTCCAATGCTTTTAAACTTCGAAAGTCTTTCCCAAGCAAAGATCATGTTAAATGTTTGCCTGTCTTTTTCTAGTTCAAATTTTCTAACATTTAATTCTCTGATCTACGTCAAATTTATTTTCCTACGAGGGATGGGATCATGAGCAAAACTGGTTCTTTTTATGAATGTTTAACCAATTGTCCCAGTTGACTCATTCTTCTCTTTTCCCCAGTTGTTGACCATCTTCTGTATCGCTAAGTTCGTACCTATACTTGCGTCTATTTCGGGTAGGTTCTCTTTCTGCCAATCACAAAAAAAAGAGGCTCAGTGGGAAAAACTTCACTGACGAGCTCAGGAGACTCAACTAAGAGAGGACGATCTAGTCCATAGGAGTTCTGGGCATCACCCAGGCCATGGCCCACGGGGCTTCCCAATCTCACCTTCCTGCCGCCACTTTCCTGCTCTCACAGACCCATTCTCTCCACCACTTACACCTCTGCACACACTCAAGAAACTCCCTGGCAGATCCATGGTCCCAGTGTGGAGAACCATACCTTCCCCTTTCTTCGGGAGACCTTACGATTTGAGGAAATGAAAAGTAGATTTACCACGTTATTTAAAGCCAAGTTCCAACTCTTGTTGTTGACAATAGGCTGATGCTCTTCAACCAAAGGGTAAATGTCTTCTGTCTCCAATCCAAAGCACTCTGATTTCTGAATTCTTGATTATTTTAAAGAATTCTGATAAGGATCGGGAGAGATTAGTCTCCATCCTCAGTGC